CTCTCCCCTGTTCTCTGAAATCTCTGTTTCTCTTTTTTTTTTGGAACAAAACACCAATTCCATTGCAGGTCTTTCCTCAGAGACAATGGATTCAAGTGTCACAGCGTCACAACGGTCGTCAGCCAAATCGAACAAATAGAACACTCCTCATCATTATGGGTATATCTAGACTGACTGGGCGAAGATGGAAGGGGTGCACGTATACCCCGCTCTGGGACTATCCTAACAAGTAGCCGTCTCGGTGTGCCGGCTAGACTAGCGCCGGAGGGGGGAAGTCCTTCGGAGGTTAGGCCTGCACGTGCGCCCAGCAGACTTGGATGGTGGCCTGGCTGCCACGTGGCGACTGCTGTTGGAGTCGTGCTCTGCGACGCATGGGCAGGGGTGACGCCAGCTGTGGAATTGTCGATAGTTAGTGATAGTGGTGCAGCTTCTGACATCTGCAATGGCGAGGTTGGGCGAGTTGGGAGCCAATGAGTGGCTGGCCATCGTCCAAGCGAGCAGAGAACGGGTGTGCTGCGAAGTGGCGAAGTTGAAAGGGGGTGGCTGCAGAAACGACGGTGCCATCAATTCCGTGGATCCGGAGTGTGCAGGAGGTGCTAATGGAGACTGCGTGGGAGTTGGAGGAGGGGCCGCCCCCTCATCTTCGTGCGCTCATAGATGGACGACGATTGGGCAGCTTGATGCGGAACTACTACGAAGACCTTGAGGAGGGGCAAGATCTTTGTGCTGAGCTGGAAGCACGCTGCTATGAGGATGACATCGACTCCGTTGCTGACGACGCCGTTGACATCGGTAGTAGGGATGATGGCGAGCTTACTAGCACCACCGTTCTTTTCAACAACATTGCTGACAGCGAGGACATTGGCGATCTCATCTGCGGCGCTGTCCGTTACAATAACTACAATGACAACAACAACAACAACAACAACAACAACAACAACAACAACAACAACAACAACAACAACGACGACGACGACGACGACAACAACAACGACGACGACAACGACAGCAACAACAACTACAATGACAGCAACAACAACAACAACAACAACAACAACAACAACAACAACAACAACAACAACAACAACAACGACGACGACAACAATGACAGCAACAACAACAACAATGACAAAAGCAGCGATTATCGTTGTGTTGGTGACGTTGCTTCCATTGGTGTCGTCAACAACAACCAAATTAGTGACGACAATATCAGCGCTGCTGGCAACGACAATAACATCAGTGGTGACGATCGCAGCAACCACAACAACAATATCGACAAGCACTATAACACCAGCGAAGAGGTGAGCTTTATGCATGTTTCCGAGACAGCCAGGGTGTTAGCAACACGGGTGATGATATCGGATGTGAGGGGGGTACGACCTTTGCTGGATTTGAGGAAGGCGCGCTCGTTGGGGGGTGGTTGTCTTTGGGCATGCTAATGATGACTGGGGGCTCATCGACTTCACGGAATAGCATACCGCTTCTTTCATGGGATCCGGGTGGGATCAGGGAGGAGGGTTGTAGGGTGGGGTGGAGTCTTTACGGAGGAAGGGGTGGGAGAGAGAAAGGGGGGTGGGTGATTGGAGCGGCGCCGCAGGGTGTGCATGACAGCGGGAGTGTGTTTTTATCGCTCCTCTTTTCTGAGTGATATATAGCTGATTAGGTGCGATGGAGGGATCGACTGCTGCTTGGTTGTGTGATAACGCGATTTCGGCTCTGAAATCTGAAATTTTCGGTTCCATCGTTTAGTGTTTCAATTGATCTCGCCGGGGCAGGTACGTAACCTAAAGCGATTTGTGAATCTTGAACCGTACATCCCTTCTACGAATACCCCTCCCCCCCTATATTGTGTAAGAGGGTGTTAGTCCTTGATGGGGGCTTCGAAGCTGGGAGATGATCTCTCGGTGGATTACAATGGAATGGCCCCTCCTCTTTGTGACACAAACTTCTGATCATGAGGATCGTGGGGGGTATGGCGACTTCCGGATAAACTTGTGAGAGACTTCCTTTTTGCGCTTTCGAAATTGGCCATAATGTGCTCATCTTACTTCCTGCTCTGACTGCCTCTCCCTCTCGCCGTGTTGCGAACGTTTTGGTAAGCGGACGATGAGGGTTTCGGAACAGGAATTTTGTTTCAAACCATGAAGAGCAGTTAATCCCCTCGGTTGAGGGCAATCAATGCTGCTCCTCAGATGATAGAGTGTGCCAGCGTGTTGCTTTGGGTGATTATGTACGCATTTTGTGGGATCGACACATGGCATGTTGACATGACTTCGGGTGGAATGTGGACCGCCTGGTTATAATTGTTGAGGGACGCTGGACCCGATTTCCAGCAGGTGCTGCTCCCCACCAATAGATGGAGCCTCCTCGAGCATGCTAGAGGTGTCTGCTCGAATCAGCACCCCTAGCATGTACTCGGGCTGTTTCAAAAAAAAAAAAAAAAAAAAAAAAAAAAAGCAAGTAGCCGTCTTTTTGTAAACTGCTCAGGGCATGCTGACAAGAGGACTTTCTGACGCGCATCTGACTGCTTTTATGTCCGGATGTGGATGCATTTGACTGCAATCACGTCCAGGGATACGCCCAAACTGTTCTAGTGTGGACATGTGCTCAAAAACGGTTCGGTCAACAGATCCGTGTAGTTGTTAGGATAATCAGCAAGGTCAGATTCATCCAGCTTTGGTCCAAATTTGGCCCTCATTGAAATCCGGTTCAGTTGGGAAAGTGCTGGGTTGAGTATGACCACCATCAGGTTTCTCACATCACAAGCGAAAGAAGTTAAGAACAAGAACCGAGCTCTTGGCAAAAGGCCTGGCCTATGTACGTCTTACTCAAGGCTTCCTTCTTCTTTTCCTTCAGAAGTCTTAGGGCTTAGTCACACTAGTACTTTTTCAACTAAGTTCTGGACGTGATTGCCCGCAGATTCATCCAGGTCTGGCAGATTCATCCAGGTCTGGCCGTAATTGCAGTCAGATGCATTTTGAAAAGTCCAAGTGTGAGCATGCGCTTAGAATGTCATTTGGCATTCCAGAGGTATTAGCAGATACTTCAGGAAGTTTCTTTGGGCAGCGGCATTTGTTTGATAATTTTTTTGTTTCTCTTAGTTTCTAACAAATGAAATTGTCTCAACGACCTCCAAGTTATTACCTCGATGTAAAACATATGTATCATATATTATCTCGGATTCTCTCATCAGGGCATACTCACACGGCGACCCCAAATCCGCAAAATATGCGGATTTGGGAAGGGCGGATTGGAGGTTTTGGGCACGGTTCACGTCACACTGCTGTACCTTTTCAGATGGGACAAGGTCGCCGCCGTCTGGAGAAATGGGGATTTGGTACTTGGCTGGTCACACGGCGCCATCCACAAATTGTGCAAGAACTTTTGTGAACGAATTTTTGCCAATTTTTGAAGAAAATGCAAAAAAAAAAAAGGGCATTTGCGGTCACCTCCAGAGCTGACCGCAAAATCCCTTGCCGCGCGGCTTCGCAGGCCGCTGACAAATGGGCACAGGAATAGTACATTTGCGAATTTGGTAGATCCGTGTGACCGGCCTTTTCCCCTTTTTTTTGGTATTTTGGGATTTAGTTTATAGGTCCCCGTGTGAGTATGCCCTCAAATGAGAAAGAGCGAACCTAGTATTTGCTCCTCGACCTGTCTGACCATACGAGCGGGTAGAGAAAGCTGCAAATGTCAGACGTACCCGCTCGTGTGGTTTCTGGTATAGGGGAGCTTGTGACTATGGGCTTCACTCCATGACTCACCAAACATGCAAAAAATGAGAATGAATGTTCTGCTAGAACATGGAAAGATACTCGGCCATATGAAGCCCCCTTGGCTGCTTTTGCTACTTTCCCTGCCTCTTGCGACTGGCCCAACCATCAAATTTTAACTATTTTGCCACGAAAGGCCCTCGTGTGAGTAGGCCCTCACCTGATTATTTCAGGGGGTTTGAACTCATCGTCTCTTTGTTATCAAGAACAGTTCATGCGTCTACTGTACACTTAAGCCACATCGAACTGTCTATGTTTTTTTTTTTTTTTTTTTTTTTTTTTTAATGGCCTTTTTTTTTTTTTTTTTTTTTTTTTTTTTTTTTTTTTTTTTTAATGGCACTGTCTATGTTCTGATTTCTTGCTTTGCTTTACTGTCTGTCTGTTTGCAACTTGGCCCTCTCCAATGGTACTTGGGTTGCTGCGTTGTCCTTTCTTTTTGGGATTTATCCAAGGCAAGGGCCTCGTTTCACTGCTCCCCTAATACAGTGCCTCGCTGCACTACCGTCCACATGCACAAACGACAAATAACATGGCGGTGAATATTTCCATGTTCTAGTAGGAGATTCGTTCACCTTTTGTGCATTTCGAGAGTAATGCAGCGAGGCCCATAATGTCAAAAAAATGCAGGGATTGAAAAAGAAGTGGGGGTTGTGTTCTTCGCAGAAAAGTAGCAAACTTTCCGAAAGCAAAAGAAAGAAGCGAGGGAGGCAGACTTTCAGGCAGAGGCGCCAAAAGGAACACCACCACCGCCAAGCTTAGGGAGCAGCTCCTATAAGAACGATGCCCATAACTGCAACGAGCAGCATGATAGTTCCTCTATATTTATTTCTCCTATCATCTGTCACATCGCCGGGATGAGTTGCGCCGTCCTGTAGCCCGAGTTCTACGGGGGTATGGTGGTGCGGATCGAATTTCTCCTGCGGGGTCCCATCGCTGCGTGTCGATGGCTTGCCCGCTCCGAGCCTAGATTCGCCAGTGCGTCTTCTCCGAAGGGAGGTGGCGCGCGGGTGCTGAAGAGGGGGAGAATGCGCGAGGCGGGAAACCGAGCAGCGAAAACTCCCCGATCCAGGCAGCGGAGGGAAAACGGGCCTGAGCGTTGGCTGGTGGATCAGCCTCGCAGATTCGAAATTGGAAACCATCACCTTTTCTTCCGGAGGAAATTAGCGAGCGACCTCCAATGAGTCCAATCCTCCATGTTTCCTTGTCCATCATTCGAATTCTCTCTTTTCCTTTATTCGCGTAGGCGGCTCCATTCTCTCTTTTCCTTTATTCGCGTAGGCGGCTCCTCCTCCTCCTCCTCCTCTCTCTCTCTCTGTACTTTTTACAAACGCATAACCCCTGTTTACTTTTTGACCGGTCATGCATTGCGAAAAGACAAATCTCAGCTTTGGGATTGTCTTGTCGGACTTGTCCATGGTTTGATCATTCAGGGCGCACCCCGGATTTGGGGTTTCGACGTCGCCAAAAAAAAGGGATGATGTAAATGTTGGGACGGGTATTCCAACCCTTACCTCACCCCTACAACCCTTTTTGCAAACGCATAACCCCCCTGTACTTGTTCGCTCCATCGTTTGATCATTCAGCCAAATGTTTCTTGTAGAAAAAAGATGATGTGTTGGGACGGGTGTTCCGACCCTGACCTCACCCCTACAAGAAACATTTGGCTGCCAACGCGTTTTGAATTGGAGCGAACGATGTATAGAGGGCAGCGTAATTAGCATAGGCGGAGAACCTAGTGCTCTACGTAATCAAGGGCGACAGGCACAAACGGCAGARCTTGGCGGAATGATTGACCTTGGAACATTGGACTTAAGCAAAAAAACAAGTATATGTATGGGGCCTCACGACGATGGTGAACCCAGCGATATGGCGGGCATTTCCTTTCTTTTAACTTTTGTTTTTTTTAGCGAAAAAGACCTTGTGTAAGCCATCTATCCTTGCGGTGGTAAGAGAACCGTCAGAATGGAGGGCTTATCTGTCGGGCTGCTCCATCTATTGCTGGGGATGATACATCTTGTAACACAGAGATTGCTGTTTGATGTTTTTCCTGGGGCTGTGGTCGTTAAGACCCAGCATTTTATTTTATTTTATTTTTTCCCTACGTGAATTGCATAATACAGAAATCCATCAGCCATCGGTACACAGACAAAAAGAAAAAAAAGAAAAAAAGAGAGAGAGAGAGCAAAGTTTAACTTCCAAACACGCATGCCTTACTGTACACCGTCTTTGAATTCCTTTTCTTCATTTGCTTTACTGTTTGTTATTTTTCTTTGCAAGTTCTTCATTTTTTTAATTAAAAAATATATATATATATCATTTTTTTAAGTTCTTCATTTGCCTTACAGTCCCTCACTGTTTATTCTTTTCTTCATTTGCTTATATTACTGGCATGGAAGGAAGAACTTGGCAATGCAAAGACAAATAATAACTAGCAAAAAAAAAAAACTGACTTGCGAAACGGAGCCACGGTTGTAAACAAAAAAAAAAAGTGAAGTGAACAACTTGGTTGTTCGCCAGAAAAGTTTACCCTTGGGTCTGCTGTCAGCCTCTGTTTTTCTTTTTTTTTCCCGTTTTTTGGGGTCAATTCACCCTGACTGCTCCCTAGGTTTCTCAAAAAAAATAAAATAAAAAATGATATGGTCAGCACAGACATGTAGGAAGAGAGTTTTCAAGGAATGCTAGAGGAAAGAGCTGTCGAGGGCTTTCACCAAGTTCCACTGAAGGATTACTACGACTCAATAGAAGGCGTAGCTTCTCTTTTCCAATTGGACTCGGGTTTTTTGCTGTCAACTTGCAGCGGAGGTTACGGTCTCATTATTTCACTGAGAAAGAGCGGGAGTCACTAATGACAGCTGGTGGAGATAAGTCTGACACTCACCTCGGGTTGTGGGCAGCAGCTCTAGCGAGTGAACATTCTTGGCCTCCCTCTTCGCCGATTGGATAGAAGAACGCCGGGGCAGCAGTACCGTGGGATGTACCTGCAGCAACGTTCAGATCTGGGCTCGAGTAAGGTACCCCGTTTGGAGGACTGGCTACAAGGCTTATTTCATTAAACCGGTAGGGAGCAGGGAACCCCCCTAGGGAATATCGAGTTGACAAAGGCCTTTCGGGGCCAAAACTAGACCCCTCAAGGGCCTGGCATTTCTTGGGTGCCCCGGCAGCCAAAATCAGCCCCTCTAGGCTCGGCAGTACTTCTTCGCTGGTCATAGCAGCATCGGGTGCCTTTTCGACGATCGGTTTTCTCCGCTGCCTACTGTCGCCGCTTGACGCTCCAGCTCTGCAGAGGAGACGAATCAGACGTGTGAGACCTTCTGCTTCAACCTTCGCGTTTTGGCAGCGCGAAAATCTGGGAGTAAGTAACAAGCTTCGTTACCAAGGTAATCTCATCCCTACCATAGCTTTACTATTCTTTACGTTTCACCAACCATCTTTCACCAGCCAGGAAGAACCACTGCGCCTTTGCTTGTGATAGCCTGTCTTACGACTAGTCCCAGTTAGGCCGAACTCATTCAGTTCATCGTTTTTCTTTCGTGCTGCTAGTTACTAGGCTTGCCTAGGTACTTTACGTTCAGAAATTCATAGGCGGGGAATACTTTAGCACCTTTACGTCAGTCGTTCCTTTTCTTCTTCCCGCATCCTGGCCCAGCTCACCGCCGCCATTTCTACAAGCCACAGCCGCCCTGCCCCTAGAGGATCGGCCCTCGGAAGGAGCCATCTCCACTCAGTAACCTCCCACTTGCCAGATCTTCATTCCCAACTTCGCACCCCTTTCCGAAGAACCGTCAATCCACCGTTAGCAAAGCTTGGGAGCCATGGCTCGCATCAGAGCAGTGGAAAGCGGGTCACAGGCAACCAACTGGCTTCCGTTATGGAGAAGGAGAACCGGGGAAGTGGGTTGGGAGAACGAGTGCTTTGAGGATCTCATAGCAACTTGGCTGTTAGAGGGAGGACCGTGTTTAGAATGTGCCAGTGATTGCCCGATCCACCCACTCCTGGACCGATCTTCTGGCCCAGATTTCAAACCTTGTTCATGCCAACTACAGGCATGGAATACCGTCAAGAGCTCCGGCGTCTCAAAAGCACCAAACCACCAGTTGTCATCGCAGAACTGTGGTCGATTCCCAAAAGATCGCAGGACCGAAATGGACCCGTCAATTTGGAAAATTTTCTGCGAAGGAGGTGCGTTGGCTTTAGTAGGCAAGCAACTATTCATGCCTCTCTGCTTTCCCTCACTCCGATTGGTTAAAGCTTACGTACAGGATTGCCTAAACCCGCAGGAAGAGGACCCCTTTAAGCTTACCTTCTCACTATCAAATAGCGGTTTTACATACCTTGTTCCTCTGCATCTTCTGCGTGTCAATTTCCAGTCGGACTCGTCTTCCTTTACTCCCATTTCCTGTTTGTCTCAGCACCCCTACTTACTCGTCGGAGTACCCCTTCAGCCCAGGCTCTAGGGATAGATTTAGCCGTGCAGGAGAAGAAGTCGGACGGGATCTACCAGCCAGGAACCAAGCAGTCTCCAGAGAAGAAGTCCATCTTCTTCATCTCAACTTCCAGATGCATCAGGCGGACCTCAACCAGGTCAGAGGCATCCTCGACAGGGTCATACCTTCGTTGGAAAGGAAGAGTGGAATTGCGCAGGAAGAAGTGAGATCGCTTCAAGCAATTTTTGACCTTCCAGCCTGGAGGAGGCATATTGCAATTCTCATCAGAGTCAAGCTGATCGAGCTCAATTACCAGCATTTTGAGAAAGGAAAGCTGGCGGCCAGTGCCTTCAAGAACACCCTGGCAGGACTTGCTGATGAACTCTGCGACAAACGTTGCCCAGAGGATGTAAAAGCTCTGTTAAGATCACTGGAGCTGGATACTGCAGTCCTCGCACTGGCCAGAGTTAACAAGGAGTGGGATGAGCAAGAGAACAAAGCGGCCATCAGAAGTGGGTAAGTGGTGGCGGTATACGCCGACCTTATAAAAATAAAAAATTAAAAAATAAGGTCCTTTAGGGGAACCATATCGTTTCTCCGCGCCTCTCAGTTGCAGTGGCCTGCATTAAGTATTTCCTTAATCCATCAAACCGATCAGATCAAGAACTCAGGTACGTTTTAATGGTTGTTTGATTGCAGGTACGGAGGATCTGATTCGGCCAGGGGATCCAGGAATAGAAGTCCGCAAAGAACTATCACTACCGAAGCAGCAGGCGCTCCCCAGATGCTAAGGACAAAAAGGAATGGAACCGCAGATCGAGATCGCCCAGGCGCTCAAAGAATTGAACAAGCGGCCAACGACGTCCCAGATCTCTCATGCCCTCAGCATGCTACTAACTAGATCCAGCTGGCTAGCTGACCCATAATCTTTCCGTGCAGCCTCTCTGACTAATCATCTAGCAGATTGGAAAGCTCTGCTTGGATCTTCTACCAGGAAGCACTCTAGAAACGTCCTAAACTGGTTACAGCACGGAGTCAAAATGAACTTTCAGGGAACCAGTCACCAGGACGGGTCTAAGATAGAGCAGGTCAGGCTCATGGTCAAGCCAGTCCTCAGAGCGTCAGATTTCAGGAGGGCACTTAAAGAGTCAAAACCTCCTTCTCTTTCTATTCCAAACTATCAGCTTCCCTCCCACTTCACGAATTTTGTTAACTCAACTGTGGTTACCTTGCTTTCGCAAGGGGTCATCTCGCTGACCGACTCAGCACTAGTTACTAACCCGGTCTTCGTCATCGAGAGCTCCAACAAACTCCGTTTCATTATCGATCTCAGGTTCGTAAACCTGTTCATCAGTTTTCCCGACTTCCACTACGAATCCATCGATGATGTGGTAGCGGTAATGGACGGCCACCTTTTGCAAAACTTTGCAGTCACATTTGACATCAAGAACGACTATTATCATATCCCGGTTCACGAGTCTTCAAAGCCTTACCTTGCCTTCTACTCGGATGGGAAGTTGTATCAGTTTAACACCCTCTGCTTCGGAATTTCCTCAGCGTGTTGGATTTTCACTATGGTAATGCAAAAAGTTATGGCAGAATTCAGAATCAGAGGGATTCTCATTTTCTCCTACATTGATGACAGCCTGGTCACTGACGAGGATTTTCGTAGATGCCTGTGGAACTCCTTCATTATAACGGTCATTTTTCACAAGCTGGGTTTCTTCCTTAGTCCCTCAAAGTGCCAAGTGTTTCCTTCTCTAACCAACCGCTTCCTAGGATTCATCTTAGTTTCGCATGAGAAGAGAATCAAGATCCCAACTGACAAAGCGGAAAGGATCCTCCACTTACTGAGCTACTGCGAGAAGGAAACAGAACTGACCTCAAGAAAAATAGCCTCGCTAGTCGGAAAACTGGTCTCACTAGCTAAAGCCTTTCTGCCAGCATCTCTCTACTGTGCTAATTTCCACTTGGCACTGATCGATTCCTCATGGAATGACAAGGTGAACTTATCTAAAGTTTTCAAGGACGACTTGGCCTGGTGGCTGCAGCACTTGGAGCACCTACCAAGGAGGAGGTGGGGAGTCAGACTGACCTCTGCCAAAATCCAAACCGATGCCTCGGCCTCATCCATCGGCGCGGTCCTATCTCTCAGCTCAGGGAAAACCCTGAAAGCTAGCTTTCCGCTACCACCAGACTCCCTAACTCAGCCCAGTACGCATAGAGAACTCTATGTAGTCACCGAAACTCTACTAATCCTCAGAAAGCATGCACCGCAGGAACTCTTCTCCAGAGCCCTGGAATGTGTAGGGGACAATCAGGCAGTATTCTTCCTCCTCTCCAAATTGAGATCCTCTGACGTTGTCTTCAACAAGCTATTACGAGTTATTGCCGAAATTCTGATAACCATGGATTGTCAATTGGTACCAATCTGGACCCCAAGAGAACTCAACCAGGAGGCGCACGCGCTGTCTAAAGCCAAGGACTACTCCGATTGGGGCCTTAGTCGGAAGAAGGTGGGCACACTTATCAGAACATTCGGTGAACCTGAAGCAGATCTCTTCGCATCGGAAGAAAACTTTGTCTGCAAGCCTTTCATCTCTGAATTTTTCTCGCCAAATTGTCTGCAAATGGATGCACTCTCAACCAGCTGGGACAGTCTGCCCGATCTCCCCTACAGATGGGTCTTTCTGCCAACGTGTCTTCTGCAGCAGGTCCTGGCAAGAATCAGAAGTTTTGGGGGTGAGTATCTACTCATCACCCCAAACTCAAAGAAGGCTAACTGGTATCCAGCAATCAAGAGGCTCAGAGTACTTGAGCAGATCAATTTCCGCAAGAACCCAGGGAACTGTTTTCCATCAAGCAGGGTTCCCCCAACCGCCTTCAATCCGGCCAAGGCCGGCCTGTCTGTCTTCAAAATCTCAGAACTCCCAGTCAGTTGCACCCATACCCATACCGAATAAAGGAAGAAAAGGTTTTCCAAGTCCCCTGACCTAGCATTCGCTCTAGAGTCCAACCTGATCTTATCCCTTCTCGAACGCCCCCAACCCGAAAACTGTGGCTGCTCTCCCCGTCATAAATCTCAAACTCAAGCAATGCATTTTTTAATCTTTTGTTAAATACACTCAGAGTAAGAGCAGTTTTTTGTCCTCGTACTGCGAAACAACGGTCCCCCGTCTCGCAGGTCTATAGGAGGCTGGAGGGAATTATAACTTTCTCGCAACTCTTCGACCAACTCCAGGAAAGTCTCACCTTTACCATCTCCCTGCTCCAGCATTATGATACTTTGCTGCCCTCTGCGCAGTGTTTTGGTATAGGAAGGTTGTACCCGACGAATCTCTTCATCCACCTCTTTACCCTGCAGACGCAACCCCTCCCCACCCCGCTGCCAGCTTTCCCATAGATATACCATTATGCACAGATCCCGCAAGGTCTCAGCGCGCCTGTACCCTATCTGAGTTCTCATTCTACTCCGCATACCCTTGTGTACTATATCCATCTTTTTCTTGGTCATTGGTGGAGCCTGCTCCTCGATAACTCCGCTCTGAAGAGCAAAATTGTGATACACACGGCGATAATCCCTTACCTTACTACTACTGCATGGATTGCCATCACCTTCCCTACCAAGAATCTGAAAACATCGGCTGAGGCAACTAATACTCGACTCAAGGCTGCTGCAAGCAGGGAAAGGCAGACCATTCTTATCAACGGTTCGACATCGGGCCTTGAGCTCAGGAAGCCATTGACCTTGCAGAAAGGACAGTACGTCGAGATCATTGCAATCGTGAATATCCCGCCCAACGCAGTTTCGGGCGAGCCACTCTTTTAGGGACCTCAGCATTCGCCCTCGCTCCGTCTCGCTGTTCTTGGAGAGACCATACTCTGCTATCAAATCTATGGAACCSATCAATCCTTCTTCATAGCATCCTTCATAGGAATTCTTGGGTTGCTTCTCAGCAGCAGCAATACTTCGATGGAGTAATCTCTCCAACCACCATCTCCTGTACACAAATGAAAGATCATTTGGTAAATGAAGGCGGAGAATTTGGGATGGTGAGGAGGAGCATTGGGGGTGCCCCGAACTTTTTCCAGTTACTTGGAAGGTGTCAGTTGTCTGATTTGTGTTGTTACTTTAACTATTTCAATCATTTGTTGCATTGTCAGTTTGAGTTGCTATCTGTTTCATACTCCCCCTCTTTGGTTTCTCGATTGGCATGAACTCAAGGCCCCCTTCCAAGAACCCCCAATCACTTCTGACTGAATCCTACACCTTCCGAATGCACACATAGTCTGTGCTAACTGACGAATGGGATGCAGGAAG